CGGAGCAGATTTGGAGGATGTCTCGAGCGAGGCGCTCATTTCCCCCCCCCCCCACGGGAGCCGCCAGGGGTTATTTCACGGTCCCGTTCGCGGCCGTTTTGTGGGGATGTCTCAAGCGGTTTGCCTGTTTTCTGTCCCAACATCATTCGCTTTCGGAGCAGATTTGAAAGATGTCTCGAGCCAGGCGCTCACTTTCACCCCCCAGGTGGGCCAGATTTTGAGGATGTCTCGATCGGTGGCCAGACTCGTGGGCACAGATTCTCCTCAGGATGCCACAAGAGGTCCAACAGGCTCCAGGAGGCCCCAGAAGACCACATGGGGTCCCAGGAGGCATCAGGAGGCCACAGAAAGACTCAAGAGGCCACAAGATGTCCCAAGAGGCTCTCGGAGGCCCCAGGAAGCGGGAGGCCTCAGGAAGCCACAGGAGGCCCCAGGAGGCCAGAGGAAACGCCAGGAGGTTTCGGAAGGCAACAAGGGGCCCCGAGAGGCCCCAGGAGCAAAAGGCCTCAGAAGGCAACAGGAATGGCTCCAATCCCACGTGTTTTATGTATGCTCCTATCGATTGGCCTCACCTGGAACACAATTTCTTGATGTTATACGTCTGTTTTTATAGATCGTCCTTCTCCTGTGTACCTAAGTTCCGATTGGGTCTCTCCTGGAGCACGAGTCCTTGGTGTTTTACGCGTGTTCCTATAGATTGTTCCCTTCTCCTGTGGCAATTTTCTATGTACGTCTGTTGTTATAGATTGGGCCTCTCCTGGGGCACGAATCCTCCCTAGAAGGTCCCAGGAGGCCCCAAGAGGCTCCTGGAGGCCCCAGGAAACCCCAGTAGATTTCAGGAGGCCCCAGGAGGACCCAGGCGTATGCACAGAGACGCGCTCGTACTACTGAGGCTCATTCACACTCCAATCCATTCTCGGTTAGATTCATGACCAGACCGTCACAACTGAAACCAGCTTATATTCGAAAGCTCTTGCGCCTAGACGCTCACGGCGGACAGGTTCATGTGAATCGATGCACATATGGGGAGCTCCGCGCAGCGAATACTTTACCTAGTCGCCTGCTGATCGTTTCTGGATGGGCTGGCGGGGATATTTTTTCGTCGCGGCCGCAAGCGGAAGCGCAGGCGGCGTCCGAAACCAGCCCGGGCTACGAGCCAAACCTAATTACCTAAGCGCGCGAACTAACGGCCGCCGAAACTGCCGCCGAGGGGCGCCGAGGAACGACGCCGGGGACTGAAGGCAGAGCTGCAAGAGGTGCCAGGTGTGCCAGGCGGCTGAAATGCAGCCATTCCAGGGCCGAAACCACCAGGAAGGCAAATGAATTGTACCTTGTCGTGCCAGGCGCCAGAGGTAAACGAGCCACCCGAGCCAGCTAAGCACGGCATGGCGTGGGGCTGGCGGGGACACGCGAAGCGTCAATAACTTACTCGGCGAGTGCCAGGGATGGAGCATCGGCACAAAAAACGCAAAATGCGCGCTCCACGCAGGAAGCTTTGCGCAGATTTCTTCTGGGGGGGGGCGAGAAGACGAACTCGACGATATTCTTCTCCTTGTGGACAGGGGCGGGGAAGGCGCAAAATAATTTCTCAGAAGCCACCTCGCGCACGAAGACATAGGCGGTATACGTTTGGACAGCATATGGATAGAAGACGGGGCAACTTACTCTGGCATGCAAGTTTGGTGCGACAAAAAATCACACGTATTCGCTGCATCTCCGCAAAAACGAAAGGCCCCACCAATCCCCGCCCGATCGCGGCCCGCCCACTTCTCCAATGTGCACCCCCCTCCCCGCCGCCTCCATTTTCTACGAGGCAACCCTCGCGGTGGCACGACGCGGTAATCGACGCAAAACTATGCGCACGCATCCGCGCGAAACATGCGCCGCCGATCCCGCCGCCGAGCTGACGCAGCTGCCTTGGCTCAGGGTTAGAGCCTGCTTTGGGCAACTGCGACGCTTCGACACTCAACCAAATCGTCTGGCAAATGGTTGGATACTCTAATCATGCTGACACGAGACCGCCTCCATATGGCACCGTGGCCTGGCTCGACCAGGCGAAACAGAGCTCTGCCGCGAAATCCGCGAGTCGCAATAACACCAAAAGTCTCTAGGCCTCTGGGGGCTGGTCGGAACAAAGGGGCAAGAGGAGCCATGCTGGAAGCGACTTTGCATGGGATACCGAAAGCTGCATGACACGAAGCACATGCAGAATAGCCTACTCGGAAATGCACTTGTCGTTTCAGAGCTCGTCTTTCACCTGCCGCGCAATTCCCCGCTTGGCTCGGTCAATCGCTGGCGTGGCCCCCCTGGCGCACGAAAGAACATGGCACTTACTCGCCCTAACAAGCTCGCAATCGCAGTCAAGCCGTCTTGCCTGGAGTAAGGTGCGAAGGCGCCAACTTCCCTCCCTAGCGAGATGTTGCGCGGCCAGACGCATGTCACTCTGACCCGCGTCAGCGTTGTCGTCGTCGCCGCGCCGACGTTGTCGTCGTCTTCCACTCAGCGTCGGCAGCGCCAGCCGCAAGGCCTTCGCGATAAAACGCCCGACCTTTCTGCGCGGGTCGCCGCGGGGATTCGACGCGTCGAAGATGTGAGCGCGCTTCAGAAACAATGTGGTTAGCGCCGCTCCACGCGCGAAGTGGCGCTAGACATTCGGGCGCCTCGGCGAGCGACGAGCCGCTGCGAGCTGCGCCGGGAAGGGCGCGCCGACAGTTCAGATCGCCCGCGAAGGCAGCGCAGATGAAGCCGCGCTACAGAGTAGCCCCGCGAGCATCCGCGCAGTAGACGTCGAAGGATGGAGGGCCACGGACAGCGCCTTGACGCGCAGCTCGAAAGCGCCAGACAGGACGCCATCCATCGCGACGCGAGCAGTCCAGGGATTCAGGGGGGGGGATTCACGATGGGTGTACATGGGCGACTGCATTGTTGATGCCTGTCGCCTTCAACTCGTCGATCAGGCGGCCCGCTCTCGCGCGGTCGAAGGCGCCGCGCACGTCCGAGCAGAACGCGACGACGCGCCGGCCACGACCAATCTCCCAAGGCCAACTGCAGACGGCATGCGCCAGAGCGCCATTTTAGCCATTGCCGCACTTGTGAACAAATTGACGGCCCCCGTCCGAAAACATGTATCAAAATCTACGCAAAACCACCCTCCACACCGCTTTTGACACGCGCGAGGTCAGGTGGATGCCCTAATGCCCTAGTAGTTGTCAGCATGAGATCATGAGAATTGCTCTTGCTCTTGCGCGGCGGGAACGCCCGGTGAATGCATGCGCCGCTACGTGATCGCCGCGGTCAATGATCGCCGCGGGCGCCTCTGACTTCGAAGCTGGTTGCTCCAGGGGCCTGGCAGGAATAACCGTAATTTGCCTGTCATATCACAACAAATGCAACGTGCAAAACACTATCTGTACACCCGCCTCCGCACCCAGCCGGCTTGGCCGGTGGATGCCTCCCGGCTTGGCCGGTGGATGCAGGGGCGTATGCCTTGGGGTCCTCCTTTGGTCTCGGACTGAATATGCCAAACTATTCGGGCGCCCCTGGTCCAGTTCGCCCTCAGCGTTTCGGCGTGTGGTTGGCCATCCTCTTCGGGACCTGCCACAACCAACCACGCGGGGCAGGCCGACGCTGTCACGAACGACGTCCCTGTTTCCGCCGTAGAGAAAACACCGCGCGTACCTCTTGAATGCAAGATGCACTGTGTCTGGCTGCATGCTGGACTCCTTCGCACACGCCAAAATTGCCAGAAGATGTCCAGCAAAGCTCTTGGAACCTGCTGTTTTGGCCTTCGGAGAAGGGAGGAAACAACTGCCCCCTCTTTCGTGACACCGTCGGCACCTGGCGGACTGGCCGCAGGTGCCCCCTTTTCCCTTGAATGTCTGACCCCCCGCCCCCGTGACCAGAGCACTGACTGGAGCACAGGACGGCGGAACCGACTTCACAGCAGGCATGCCGGAATCTCTCTGCAACGCGCGCAGGCATGCCGGAATCTCTCTGGCTGATGGGGAAAAAGGCTGCGCCGCCGAGGACGAACTCCTGGAGAGCTTCGGCTGATAACCGTAATTTGCCTGTCATATTACAACACATGCAACGTGCAAAGCATTATCTGTACACCCGCCTCCGCACCCAGCCGGCGTGGCCAGTGGATGCCACCCGGCTTGGCCAGTGAACCTGCTGTTTTGGCCTTCGGGAAAGGGAGGAAACAACTATAACAGCGAGACCAGCGCCCGCGTCTCCGCGCAATCCTTTCAGCGCTCTCGGAACGGACAGGGCGCGAATCGACGCGAAGCCGCGTTGACTTTGGTTGCCGTCGGAACGCAATACAAAAACATCGATGCCCTGTCTCTGGGGCTGGTCGCCCACTGCCCAAAAAAGCTCTGGAGAGGTGGATCTGGCGACGAAGACGAATGGCCGCCCGCAACATGAGAGCGCTGCATAGGCCCCGCCAGTTTTTTTGAAGTTCTGGACTAAGAATGCGCTGATGGGTGCGGGCGGCATCTGTGCTGTGATCCTACTGCAAACCATTCGAGCAGTGCCGAAATTTGTTGGCGTGCTCTGGGGTTCCTCTCGGCTGGGCCTTGTTGATGAGCTTCCGGCACCTATCGGTCAGCGATGGATGGAGGGGCGCCCGAGAAGAACTCGGCCGCGCGCGGATAAAACGCCTCGCCGTTGACGACATTACTTCGGTAGACTTGGCGGCCGCTTTGTCGGCATTGCAATTTTGACAGAGATCGCGCAGATCCCTGTTCCAGAAAGTGTGTCTGATGGAAGTCCTCATTATACATCGAGTGCTCTCTTGCGAAAGATTCTGAGAGGCTCGAGCGAGAAGCCAGCTGAACAATGGCGGTGCCGCGGTCGTTGGTGCCAGGCCCCCCCGGGCAAGTCATGCTGGAGATGCGGTCGCTGAGAACAAGGTCCAGAAGGCATTCGCCGCGAGTGGGCCGCCCAACCTTTTTCAGCCTCGCCAGCCACGCGTGGCCTGCGCCCCCCCCCCCCCCCCCTCAGGCGAGTGCCCGCTCGAGAGCTGGAGCCACCGCTGGTTGTGGACGTTCATGTCGCCAACTGCTACAGCAGCAACCGCAAGATCTTCGAGCGCACCCCAGTCGAAACAACTTCACCACTACAAGAGGGCCGACACCACACAGCAAGCAAACATATTCCATGATGCGTGTGAATAACATGCCAGGACCTCTGATGATCTTCAGAAGCAAGAGCATGGCAAATAGTTGATCCATAATAAATGGAGCTGGGGAAATAATGATAGACCTCCTCCTTTCCTACACCGCCTAGACGGTCAAGGCGAGAAACAAGGTCGCACCCCGCCCCCAAAATCATCGCGAGTATAGTGGCGCGGAAAACGCTCCGAAAATGCAAGTAAGCCTGGCCGCCCTATCAGTTCCAGCTGGTTGCTGGGCTCAGCACTCTTAACCAAAAACCCACGCACACTGACGTGCATGATGGTGAAACTTACATTTGGGACTGGCGATTCAATCTCGGATTTGCTCAAGCTGTCGCCAAAAATTAGCCTGGCGAAGAACCCAACCATATGCAGTTGTCAGTACCGCAGGCGGGTTTCATCTTCAGTGGAACTCCCCATGGGACTACGGAGCGTGTGAGGGGTGTGTCGAGATGGGTGCCACTGGGGCATTCGGCGAAGCTCCCTATGGGGGCATGAAACACGCGCGGGGCGTGCCGACATGGGTGGCGGAAGCGCATGTGAGGGCCGCCACTGGGGCCTCCAGTGGAGCTCCCTATGGGTCCCCGAAACATGATGCTTCTGCGGGGGGGGGGCCGGGATGGGTGACGGAGACGCATGTAAGCGCCGCTACTGGGGCCTTCGGTGGAGCTCCCTATGGGGCCACGAAGCGCGTGAGGGGTGTAATTGCTGCATGAAGGGACCGCACCGAACCGAAAACCGAGAACCGTGACCGAACCGGACCGAGGCGGTCCAAAACCAGGAACGTAGAAAACCGAACCTGACCGAACCGAATCCATTCAGAACCGAACTGGCGAGAACCGAATCGAACCAGAACCGGAACCGAACCGGAACCGGGCGGCCCCTGAACCGAACCGACGGGAACCGAACTGAACCCTTTCCCCCCCCGGTCTGGACCCCAGGACCCCGATGACCCCCAGGACTCCTGGACCCCGATGACCCCAGAACCTCCCGAAGATTCCCACGACCCCGATAACCCCCAGGACCCCAGGACCCCCGTAGACCCCCGGGACCCCAGGACCCCAGGACCCAAAGACCCAAGGACCCAAGGACCCCCAGGACCGCAGGACCCCAGGACCCAGGATCCCCCTCGGGGCTGCGACCCCCCTGGCGGGTGCGACCCCCCTCGCGGGTGCGACCCCCCTCGGGGGTGCGATCCCCCTCGCGGGTGCGACCCCCCTCGGGGCTGCGACCCCCCTCACGGGTGCGACCCCCCTCGGGGCTGCGACCCCCCTCGCGGGTGCGACCCCCCTCGGGGCTGCGACCCCCCTCGGGGCTGCGACCCCCCTCGGGGCTGCGACCCCCCTCGGGGCACGTCGCTGGAGGGCCTCGCGCCTCCACGCCTCCACGTTCCTCCTCCTCCTCCTTCTCCTCCTCGTCGTCCTCCTCCTCCCTCCTCCGCCTCGTTCTCCTCCTCCTCCTCGTCCTCGTCCTCGTCCTCCTCCTCCTCCCTCCTCCTCCTCCTCCTCCTCCTCTCCTCCTCCTCCTCCTCCTCCTCCTCCTCCTCCTCCTCCTCCTCCTCCTCCTCCTCCTCCTCCTGCTCCTCCCCCATCCTCCCTCCCTTTTGTTCAAACTGGGTCGTCGCTTACGCAAACGGGGCGCCCAACGTTGCACCTGACCAGTCGGGCCAAACCGAACCGGAGGGGCCACTCGAACCGAACCGAACCGGTCGGACCCAACCGCGCGAAAACCGGAACCAAACCGAACCGGCGGCAGGCCCAAGCCGAACCGGCCGAAACCGGACCGATGCCAAACCGAACCGGCCAAGCAAAACCGACCCGGCTGCAGAACCGGACCGAACCGAACCGAGCCGATCCCTTCATGGTACTGGGATGTGTGGCGGGGACGCATGTGAGCGCCGCCACTGGGGCTTTCGGTGCAGCTCCCTATGGGGCCACGAAACGTGTGAGGGGTGTGCCGAATTGGGTGCGGGTGGTGACGCATGCGGGCGGTGCCAGTGGGGCCTTCGGTGGAGCTCCCTATGGGGCCACGAAACCTGTTGTTGTGAGGGGCGTGCCGGGATGGGTGGCGGGGACGCATGTGAGCGCGGCCGCTGGGGCCTTCGGTGGAGCTCCCTATGGGGCCACGAAACGTGTGAGGGGTGTGCCGAATTGGGTGGGTGTGGGTGACGCATGTGAGCGCCGCCACTGGGGCCTCCGGTGGATGATGGGGCCACGAAACCTGTGAGGGATGTGCCGAAATGGGTGTGCGGGACGCATGCGCATGTGAGCGCCGCCACTGGGGCCTTCGGTGGAGCTCCCTATGGGGCCACGAAACGTGTGAGGGGTGTGCCGAATTGGGTGTGGTGACGCATGCGGGCGGCAGCACTGGGGCCTTCGGTGGAGCTCCCTATGGGGCCACGAAACGTGTGAGGGGTGTGCCGAATTGGGTGTGCGGGACGCATGCGGGCGGCAGCACTGGGGCCTTCGGTGGGGCTCCCTATGGGGCCACGAAACGTGTGAGGGGTGTGCCGAATTGGGTGTGCGGGACGCATGCGGGCGGCAGCACTGGGGCCTTCGGTGGGGCTCCCTATGGGGCCACGAAACGTGTGAGGGGTGTGCCGAATTCGGTGTGCGGGACGCATGCGGGCGGCAGCACTGGGGCCTTCGGTGGGCTCCCTATGGGGCCACGAAACGTGTGAGGGGTGTGCCGAATTGGGTGTGCGGGACGCATGCGGGCGGCAGCACTGGGGCCTTCGGTGGGGCTCCCTATGGGGCCACGAAACGTGTGAGGGGTGTGCCGAATTGGGTGTGCGGGACGCATGCGGGCGGCAGCACTGGGGCCTTCGGTGGGGCTCCCTATGGGGCCACGAAACGTGTGAGGGGTGTGCCGAATTGGGTGTGGGGACGCATGCGGGCGGCAGCACTGGGGCCTTCGGTGTGGGGCCACGCGTGTGAGGGGTGTGCCTGCGGGACGCATGGGGCCTTCGGTGGAGCTCCCTATGGGGCCACGAAACGTGTGAGGGGTGTGCCGAAATGGGTGTGCGGGACGCATGCGGGCGGCACTGGGGCCTTCGGTGGAGCTCCCTATGGGGCCACGAAACGTGTGAGGGGTGTGCCGAATTGGGTGTGCGGGACGCATGCGGGCGGCAGCACTGGGGCCTTCGGTGGGTTCCCTATGGGGCCACGAAACGTGTGAGGGGTGTGCCGAATTCGGTGTGCGGGACGCATGCGGGCGGCAGCACTGGGGCCTTCGGTGGGGCTCCCTATGGGGCCACGAAACGTGTGAGAGGTGTGCCGAGAGCAAAGGCAAGGAGGAGGAGGAGGGGGGAGGGGGGGAGGAGGAGAGGAGGAGACGCGGGGCACCGTCTCTTCAAAACGAGGACCCAACACCACAGGATGGTTGGGACAAAACATTGGACACCCGGGTTGGCATTCCATTGGCGGGCCCTGCGCTGCAGAACATGCAAAGAACAAGGACTTCGGCGACGCAGTCGCCGGGTTGCCATATGTCGAGGCCTGTGAACATCATGCTGCCGCGATTGATAGAACAACTTCTCTTGATAAGCTGACCCGTGCCACCCCAGTGGGAAGGACAACCCGGAATGATAAAAGACAGGAGGGTAACCTTGAGGTCGTCCTGGCACTGCTTGCAAGCAACATCCTTGTTTACCATCTCGTGCCGCTCGCGCGAACCGTCCACCTTCTACAAGATCTCCACGGTATTGCCAGAAGAATCGCCCGACTCTGTGATCAAGCTCTCCGCCTTACTGACCGCGTAGTTCCGTCTCTTATGGTTCTGCGTGCGGGCTGACATGACCAACTGCATGTTGCCCTCGCTTCGAAGATCGACCTTGGAAGCCTGAGCGCGGGACAAAAACTATTCAGCCAAATCAGGGCTGCAGAATTCGACCCACGATCCCTTGGACACTTTCTGGTTGTTGTAGGGGCCTGTGGATTCGCTGCCGCAATCGACTGGGCGGAACGAGGACACATGCGTTTTCAAGAACTTCTCCATATCCTGGATCATGGTATCCTCCGAGACCCCATCCGGCCACCCCACGAAAGCGAGACGACGTTCCTTGAAAGACGGCGTAAGGAAAAGGAAGGGGCGAGGCTGAAGGAGGCTTGTCCTCGAGGTTGGCCACGCGGGCGTCGAGATCGTGGGCGAGATCCTGGATTGGGTCCACAGCCTCTGACACAGCCCTGAAAATCCGCCGATCCGGCGTGTGAGTTTAAGAAAGCTACAACCTGAACTTCAGATCTGCTGGGGGGGGGGGGCCGGGGGGGCTCTGCCGGGGTAGGGGGGGGAGGGGGGGGGGTTCATGGGGTCCACCCTTTCTCCCCCCCCCCCCGGGGAATCCCAAACCGCCCCAAGTCGGGCCAAAAGGGGCCCAGGAGGCCACCAAGACGGTCCAGGAGGCGCCCGAAACGGCCCAAGAGCGCTCCTGGACACCCAAGATGGCCTGAAGACGGCCCACGAGGCCTCCAAGACGCCCCAAGGAGATCCCAAAAGGACCCCAAGAGGGCCCCAAGAGGGTACAAAAATAAAGTTGCTCATAGGTTTTGAGGCAATTAAACACAATTATCCCAGTGCGACCCTACCTAGGAGTTTGAGCATTTAGGAAAGCAACATCTACATCTACGCCGACCGCTACATTTACATCTACGCCAGCATATACATCTACACCAACATCAACAGCGAGACACACATCTACATCTACACCTACACCTACATCTACATCTACATCTACATCTACATCTACATCTACATCTACATCTACATCTACATCTACACCCACATCCACATCTGCACCTACACCTACACCTACATCTACAGCTATACTGTCGCATTGGTTTTGCTGTTGCTTTGCATTGGCTGTGAGTTTGCTCTTGCCTTTGATTAACATAGCAAAAATATCATACCATTGCAAAGCATAGCTTTGCATAGCATAGCAAGTGTTACAAAACAAAGCGCAGCATTTCATAGCATATCATAGCCCAGCTTAGCATAGCATCGCACAGCGCTGCAGAGCATAGCATAGCATAACATAGCTTAGCTTAGCTGCGCGCCGTTATGTTGTGATATTCAATGTTATGATATGCTATGTTATGCTACGATATACTGAGCTATGCCATGCGATGCTCGGTTATGCAATGATATGATATGGTGCGCTATGTTATGCTATGCTGTGCTATGATATACTGCGCTATGCGATGCTCTGATATATTATGTTGCGACGTGCTGTGCTATGATATGCTGCAACGTGCGATGCTAAGCAATACTTTGTTATGCTATGATATGTTGCGCTATGCTATGATATGCTATGCTATGCTGAACTGTGCTATGATATGATATGCTGTGTTATGCTACGCTATGCTATGCTATGCTTGGCTATGTTATGCTATGCTATGCTGTGCTAATGCTGCGCTGCGCTATGCTGCGCTGCGCTAAGCTAAGGTAAGCTAAGCTATGCTAAGCTAGGCTAAGCTAAGCTGGGCTAAGCTAAGCCAAGCTAAGCTGAGCTAAACTAAGGTGATATTCGCTAAGCTACGTTAAGCTAAGCGAAACTAGGCTAGGCTAAGCAAAACAAAGCTAAGCTAAGCAAAGCTCAGCTAAGATAAGTTAAGCTATGATGGGATAAGCTAAACTAAGCTAAGCTAAGCTACGCTGAGCTAAGCTAAGCTAAGCTAAGCTAAGCTCAGCTAAGATGAAGCTGGGTGAACTCAGGGGGCGCAGCTGGGGGATCCGTGGGGCGGACGCCGGGGGAACCGCCTGGAGCGGTTCCCACTGCCCGGCCCTTTAAGCATACACAGTAAGAACCCTTCTAGGCAGAGCCTAGGTAGGGAATTACCGCCTTCTCCGTCTTAGAAGCGCCGAAGACGGTCCAAGAGGCCCCCAAGACCGCCCCAAGACAGCCCAACAGGCCCCCAAGAGGAGCGAAGACGGTCTAAGAGGGCCCCAATATAGCCCTGGAGGCCCCCCAAGACGACCCCGAGAGGCCCCCAAGATGGCCTCAAGAGGGTTAATCCGAACGGACCCTTCTAGTCCTCCAGCCCAAGATGACCCCAAGAGCCCCCAAGATGCTCCCGAGGCGCCCCCAAGGGGCCCGAGAGGCCCCAAAGAGGCCCCAAGGGCCCCCAAGAAGCCCCAAGAACCAATGGGCCCCAAGAGGCGCTCACTCGCGTGCTGCCAGGCCAGAGGTGCACGGCCTGACTTGGTATTGCTCGGAAGCGAAGACGAAGAAGGAAGAACGAAGAATGAAGAACCTTCCACCCGTCGCCGTCACCAAACGTCGGTCGTCGGCCGTCGGCAGCCGTTCGCCGTCAGTCGTCGTCGTCGTCGTCGTCGTCGTCGTCGTCGTCGCTCCTTCGTCGTCGGTTCGTCGTCATTAACTCCTTCGTCGGTCGTCGTCGTAATTATCCCGCTCGTCGACCGTTGGTCGTCCGTTGTCGTCGTCATCGCCCATTTCAACAACAATAGTATCAAGAGCGCCCCGGATCGGCGGCACTGGCCGGAGGCCACTACAATAGAACTGGGTTCCTCGAGGTCGCTCTTCAGGGCCATATTGCCCATCTTGTCTGACAGGACGCCGATGGCCTGCAGGATAGCAAGGTTGCCCGCGTCGCCGCTGGCAGCTGCCCCCGGGGAGCTGGATGTAGCTGCTACCGCTTCGGCCATGGATTTGATCTTATCGAGTTTGGCATTTCCTGGGGACTGGGACGGGCCCCGCGTACCTGCCTTCACGCACGCCTCCTGGAGGTTCTTCTGTCCATCCTCCATGGCGGCTTTTGGAGCGCCAGGCTCGATACCTTGAAGTCACGGGGCCTTTGCAGACACGATGTCGACCAATACATTTGCGAGCCTGGATGCCGACAAAGGAGACAAGCTCAGAAGCAAAGGATTTGCCAATTCATTCGTTTTTTGATGGCAAGGGCCCAAACGTTCAATCAGACACACTTGGAAAGTTTGAAGCAGATGGGCGTGAACTTCTGTATTCGCTGGGATATAGCCCATATTTGGAGGAGGCACTGGTAGTAGATTTACTCAGTAGCGGTCTGGGATTGGACATCGGCACCAATAAAAAGATAACGCAGCAAGTGAGATCCATGCAGGTAGCTTTGCGCAGCTTTGGGGGGCCCACCCGAGAAGGCAAAACCGACAAAAATCTTCAGACGTTGGACAGGGATGGGAAGCGCGCGGGGGCATTTCTCAGCAACCACCTGAGCTAAAACGATAAAGGCGGTACATGTTTGGACCATTCACTGAAAGAAGACGATGCAGACCCCGCCCGGATTCCAACATGTACGCGGGAACCCCATCTGGAGGGGGCTCCGCTCGAGCCTTCCTCGCGGTTCACTCACAGACGAAGCTCCCGCTGAAGATTCCCCCCAAACTCAGGCCTGAAGAGCCCAACCGTGACGACAGCTACAAGAAGTGGATGTCCCGCTCGGGTTCGAACATTGAGGCTGGGACCCCATAGGGAGGGGGCTCCCGCGCGACTCCCTCGCGATTTGCTCACACACGAGGCCACCGCCAGAAAAATCCCCAAGCTGCGTGTGAGGGTGTGTCCGAATGTGCGTGTGCACCGATGATGACGATGAGGATTCTGACGACGATGATGCTGATAGTGATGATGCTGAGGAGGAGGAGGAGGACGGTAATGATGATGAAGATGGTGATGGCGATGATGACAATGATGATGAATATGATGCTCATGATGCGGTAGGTGGCAGTGAGGATGCTGCTTATGGTGATCTGAACATGGTCATGATCATGATGACTGTGGTGGTGAAGGTACGGGTGATGATGTTAATGCACATGATGGCGATGCTGATAACGATGATGATGAAGATGGGGGGAATGATGAGGATGATGATGATGATGATGATGATGATGATGATGATGATGATGATGATGATGATGGTGATGATGAGGTGCTGGTGTTGGTTATGCTGATATTGATGTCGATGCTGGTACTGACCATGAGTGTAAAAGGATGGGAGAGGAGAGGGGAGTGAGGCTACTGCGGTGTGTGTGTGCGTGTGTGCAGAGAAATCAAGAACTGTCCTCGGACGACGGCATGCAACCCAGAGGGCAAGCACAATAAGCGAAAAGGCTAAACACACTAACATAGCATTTCACTGTAAGAAACCAGCTCAATGACCAGCCCGGAATGGTACTTACCTGCTGCTGAATATGCTCATCCAGAACGCAGATGCTTCAATGTTGACAGCTACATGTCAACACGATTCAATGTGTAATCTAGCCCAGAGTAGTGGGCCAACAACTGCAATTGCCCGCCTTCCACGGGTGCATTAACATGAGCCTTCTCCTCCTCAATCCTACTCCGCCTCCCCAGAATCCCTCGCGCTGTAGAGAAGTGGATACCTTTTTCGTCGCCGCGGGCCGGGGGTAGTGGTACAGGGGCAGGGGAAGGGGGAGGGGGGGGTGGAGGGGATGTGATGGCGGAAACGCAATCGGCGACCCTGGCCACAGGATGCGCTACCACTTGGTTGCCCCCTTCCGCCCTAATGCCGCAGGATGGTGGGGACGCTTATTTTCCAGTCTCCAGTGGGGCTTCTTTCGTCACGACGGGTTTTGCTGCTTCTCGAAGCCCGCATATTGCCGCTCAAGAATTGGCGTGTTGCATCGTCTGCTGGCAAAGAGCAATGACATATACCAGGAGGAGCACTTACACATAAAATGACATCAAACAAGAAGCGAGAACGCCAACTGTACTCTTACCACCCATCCTGTTGGTGGCCAGGCCGAGGATTGGCCTGGGTCGGTGTGGGTGCTTCACAGCTGGCGCCCCCCGAGAAACCGACACCTCTGACGCCGTGTTTGTTGATGTCAGACGTTGGCTCCTCATCTCATACTTCTGCTCCCTGAACTCATACTTCGTTCCTTTCGGAACCTCTGATACCAAAATCTGCCTCCGTATCCGGGTTCGCTCTCTTTCTCTCTCCACTCCCTCCCTCTCTCTCTCTCGATCCAGTCTCTCACTCTCATGATGTGTTGTTTTGTGTGTTCTTTCTCTCTCTCTCTCTCGTTCTCTGTAGAAGTGTAGCTTTTTGTTTTGTTGTTTTAAATGTTTTTCCTCTCTCTCTCTCTCTCTTTCGCTCGACCATGCGTACCACGGAATCCTTACCCCTTCCCCGGGCCGGCTTTGCTCCGCTGGCAAGTGTTTGATGATCCTGGGGCCCAGAAACAGCTCCCAGATCGAATATGCTGAAACCACATATCCGTCATGATTGTTGCGCGACGCTGGCAGGGAAGTCTGGGCAGGAAGGGGTCATCTTCTTCGGACTCTCCTTGGGCTGGCTCTCCAGAAGAAGGAACTGTCCCAGAGCGATGTTTTACCAGGAGCCGAGGAGCCGACCCCCACCCAGCCGAGCTCGGAAAAAAGCACAGCCCGAGACGCCCCAAACCCTGCCTGAACGGGTGGCAGCTATCAGTAGCGCTGCTCAGCACAGAATGATACAGCTGCGCAGATGGCAGTACCTCCAGGGGGACACAAGGTCCAGTCCGGATGGGCGTAGGACACTGCTCCGCGGGACCTCCGAGCCCACCACAGTGACGAACATTGCGCGGTTTGCAGCCGCGGGACCTCCGAGCCACCACTCCGCTGGCCATAGCAGGAACCCCCAAAAAAATGGCGACCAGTTTGCAGTTGGCAGCTGCCCCAAGGAGCCGCGAGGTCCAAACTGCATGTGCGTGAGACACCACTCCGCTGGGCCTCCCGAGAGCTCACGAAAGTGGCGACAGTTATGCGGGTGGCAACTTCCCAAGTAGCCGCGAGTTCGAGTCTGGATGTGCGTAGGACACTGCTCCGTTGGACCTCCTTAGAGCCCACGGAGGTGGCGAACATTGCCCAGATGGCAGACCCCCAGCGAGCCGCGAGGTCTAGTCTGGATGTGCGTAGATGTGCGTAGGAGACCACTCCGCGAGCCTCCCAGGAGCCCCCCCGCCGTGGAGTCAAATCTGGATGAGGGGGCACGGCGCTGGCCCGACCAGGAGCCCACGAAAGACGGAGATATGAGGCAGGAGGGAGGATACGAGAACCCAACACAGGAGGGTTGGGAATAATGCAGGATGCAGGAGGAGGTGGGAGGCAGGAGAAGGATAAGGAGGAGAGAAGGACGACGGATTGGAGACCACAGTGCTCTATTCAAAACGGGACACTAACACAGGAAGGTTGCCGCCGCCATTCGTGCGCGACGACGAGGGACCGTTGGAAAGGGACGACTGATCAGAGCGAGTTCTGATCAGGATTCCCAGAGTGGGCCCAGCCGCAGCGGCGAGCGGGGGCCCTGAATGCTCAGACGAGATGTGGGCACGCATGAGCAGGCAGGAGGAGGCAGGATGGGCAGGAGGGGTAGATGGGAGAGGGGGGTTCGAAGGGGTGGAAGGCTCGGGCGACCGCGCCGCGCTGGAGCGCTTGCCGCGGCGAGGGCCCATCCAGAGGGACATGGCCGCCTCGCGGCGGCGAGGGCACCCGCCAGCCGCGGCCTCGAGGGCCTCCCAGGTCGGCTGGAGCCCTAGGAGCGGCATCTGCTGCAGCACGGACATCGCCCTCGCCCACTCGTGGCTCCGAGCGCAAGCCCCCGCCGCGGCGCCACACGAGGCCGCGTCGGCCCGCGGCAGGGCGGCCAGGAAGTGCAGCGCCTGCTCCCAGCGCCTGGCCGCGGCGCAAGCGTTGACGCACGTCCTGCAGAACGCGCCGTCCGGGCGGACGGCGGACCCGAGGCCCTCGCGCAGCAGCTCCACGGCCCGTTCAGCTGCGCGGTGCTTCGCGCAGACGCCCACGACAGCGCCGTACGTGGCCACGTTGGGCTCCGCCGCGAGCGCCGACGCGCGGCGCAGCAGCGCCTCGGCGAGGCTCCAGGCGCGGTGGCTCGGAGGCGGCGGGCTGCCCCGCAGCAGCGCCCCGATTGCGCTGCTGAAGGCTCTGGCGTCCGGCGGGGCGGCGGCCAGCGCCATCTCCTCCAGCAGCGCCAGAGCCCAGCGCCACTGCCCAGCCTTGGAGCACGCTCCGATGGCCGCGCCGAAGGCGGCCACGTCCGGCGCAGGTCCCCACGGCGGCGAGCCGAGGAGCACCTGCAGGGCCCGCTGCCACTGCCTCCCCGCGCCGAACGCGCCAACGAGCGTGCCGCGGCTGACCAAGTCCAGCCGCAGGCGCTGGCCGCGCGCGGCGTCCAGCACGCCCACGGCCGTCTCCCAGCGCGCCGCCTTCGCGCACGCGCTGGCGGTCGCGTTAGCCGCGATGACGCCAGCGCGCCGCCGGTCGGGGGCGCTGCAGGCCCCGAGGACATCCAGCAGCGCGAGCGCCTGCTCCCAGGCGCCTATCCTCTCGCACGCGCCCGCGGCCGAGCTGACGGCGACCGCGTCGGGCTCTAGCGCCTCCGCCCGCATCGCGCCCAGCAGGCGCAGGGCGATCCGCCACTGTAGGTCCCTCGCGCACGCCGTGGCGGTCACGTTGAGCGCAGCCGCGTCCGGCTCCAGGAAGACGGCCCGCATCTCATCCAGGAGGTGGATGGCCTCGTTCCACTCCTTCCCCGCCGCCGCGAGGCGGTGGGAGATCACCCTGCCCGCACAGAAGATCGAACTGCCTCTCCTCAACTCCAGCGCGAACCCGAGCCACGCTATCAACTTCTTCGACACGGGGCGCGCCGGCGCGCCCTCCGCGTCGGCCGAGCCCTGCTGTGCCAGCGCGAACGTCAGCCGCGCGCTGCCGCTGTCGCATGGGTGCCGAACAGCGAGGGACGGCTGCCCAGACAGCTGTGGCAGGTGGCTGCGCGTGCAATGGCGGCCCAGGCCGAACTGCGCCTCCAGCTGCGGGTCCCGCAGCACGGCCTGGTCAGGCGCAGCTCTCTCCTCGCACGGCTGGCCCCCGACTTGGA